CATCACCCGAATCACCACCCAGCAGTCCAGCAACCAGACACACCTCGTCAGCTTCTTCATTTTCGACCATTATGTTCGCCTTCTGATTGTTGGCACTTTCTTTTTCTTTGTTCTTCCTGTCGTACTCCAGCTTCCGGCAGTCACGTCGAAAATGTCCTTCTTTACCACAATAATGGCAAACTTTTTCTTTCTTCTTCTCTTGCTTCTTTTGGTTCACTTCCGTTTTCATTACTGCCGCTAGCACTTCCACCGGACTTTTCTAGACGCTTCCTCCACTCATCGAGCAACTTCCCCTTCACGAATTCCAACTGCAGATCAGCTTCGGGACGACTTTCCAAAGCCGTGATCAGACTGTCAGGACTCGTTCAGACTTGACAGGATGATGGCAACTAACCAGTAATCTTTCAGCGGATCTCCCATGTTGGCCAGTTGCGTGATTTGCGCCAAATGATCGGCCATATTTCCATCTTCCGGTAAGTACATTCGGAAGAGCTTCCGCAAAACATTTATTTTCGTGACAAGCGATGACCGGGCATGGTAGTTCTTCAGTGACAACCACATTTCGCGAGCTGTGGCAGCATGCATGACGTAGCATGTTTGACCATCATCAATTGAGAGACCGATCAGAGCCCGATCCTTGCCATCTCTATAGATCCAGGACGAGTTAGGGACTTCCGGCTTCTCCTCATCGACAACGTTTCTCACTCCCTCTTTCAAAAGCACCAGCTCCATACGAAATTTCCAGAGCTCGTAGTTGAAATCATTCAATTTATCTACGGCCAAGCTCGCGTTCGTTGCCATGTTGCTACACGAAACGAAAATCAATTATTTAATTCATGTGTTTCACTTATACATTTTTGCCAAAGCATCAGCCTTATACATTCCATAAGACAAACCACATATGTCCTATTAGAATGCATAAAAGGTATGTGTGACCGCTTATACATTTCATTTGACACATGATCTTTATTAACTTTTTGCAAGGCGTCTGCTTATTAGTTGACTTATACAATTTATGAATAATCAGCAATGGAAATTTGCCAAAAGGTATAAGGAGATTTCTATCCGTGTATGGTACTATCCAGAATGAGTAGCGAGAAAAAAAAATGTCTTCACAAGTGAAAATGTTTTTTATTGGAGAAAAAAAAACACTTTACATCCGATTTCCGAACGGAATTTTTCACAATTTGCAAACTACGCGCACATGCGACGCTGGGCCCATAACCTGTTGGGAAATATCGGATATTGAACAACTATTAAAGGCGAGATTTATCGAGCAACGTTTTTATTTCAATGTGGTTCAATTACACGCTTTTAGAAGAATGACGGAAAATAAACTTCTGGTTGCATCATACGTTTTTCAAAAGAACATAGTTTGTTTGCTCTCTACGTTGTCTTTGTGCGAGGGACGCACTGATGGTGTACTTTCGGCATGTGGTGTACTTTCCAACAGATCTGACGCGATGCAGTAATGTACAGCTATATATATTGTCTAACTATCAAATTTACGTCAACGCAACGCAAGCGGATCTAATGTGGGTTATCCTTAAGGCCTGTGTCAGAGTGAAAACTGGTGGCTGCGTGAAACTTTAGGGAAATACCACAATAATTTGCAAACTTTATCAAAACACAAATGCTCCGTCCATGTGTCGAAACTCGTTGTCGTTCAGTTGGTGGTGATTGATGACTTCCTTGGTTGCTTTGGTGAAATCATGTCTTCCTTGGAAAAGAAGCACTTGCGTGGGTCCTGGCCCTTGAGTTGATGAGCCCAGGTATAGGTTTGTCAGTTGCCTCGCTGGCGTTAGTGGTTGCCACTCGGTTGCAGAACATAGACCGATAGAAAATAAACAAGAAAATAAAGCCGAATTGAATTTATCCAAGGATTTTGCAGTAAATATTTAGATGAGCGGTTGAAAAAGGGGAAATAAGTAAAACACAGCTTTTAAAGTCTATTGAGCTAAGACTAGAGAATGCTAGAGAAACTGTGAAAGACTATCAAAGCAAACTATGCACCTAGATCCAAATCTTTTCAGAAAACTTATCAATACGCATAGTTTGAACCTATAACATCATGCAGACATTGTTGTCTTTGAAAGCCAGGTAAAGGGTCAAATCCAATGACACCAGGACAGCGGTAAAGCGGTACAGTACATTTTCAGGGAAGTTCGGAAACTTTTCGGATATTACAAGAGATCAAAAGAAGCAGGAATTGATTTGAAGGCCTACAGCTGATCAGAAATTCAAATAAAGTAGTTTCGAATATATTCGAAGTGGTCAGGTTGATAAGGATTAGAATCTTGAGATATTCTTCGAAGAGGTCAAGTTGATCAGGAATAATTCTGAGGACCATAATCTGATCTAAAATTGAATTGAAGTCGTTTGAAATTTTTTTCAGAACGCAGAATAATCAGAAATTGTTTTGAAGACCTTACTACACCGAAGGTCGTAGATCTTCAGATAAATTAGCAGAACTTCAGGGAAATTAAAAAAACTTCAGGGAAGTTCAGAGAACTTCAGGAAGGTTCGGAAATCTTCAGAAAGAAAATCAGGGAAGTTCGTAGATCTTCTGAGTAATTTACAGAACTACAGCAATGTTTGTCGTCGTTTAGCGAAATAATCAGTATTTTATAGATATTCACAGATCTTCAGGGAAGTTTGTTGATCCTCAGAGAAATTTGCAGAACTTAAAGGAGGTCTTGAGATAAATTTTTATTTCTTCAGAAAGTCAAGGAAGTTTGTAGACTTTCAGAGAAATTTTTAGTGTTTCAGGGTAGTTTGAATATCTTCAGTGAAAATTACAGAATTTCTGGGAGTACACAGAATTTCAGGGAAGTTCGAAGATTGTCAGAGTAATTTGCAGATTTTTAGGGAAGTTTATAGATCTTCAAAGAAATTTTCAGAACTTCAGGGAAATTCGTAAAACTTTAGAATAGCTTTCAGTGCTTCAGAAATATTTGTTGATATTCAGAGTAATTTTCAGTATTTTAAGGAAGATCTGCACAGAAATTTGCAGAACTACAGGAAAGTTTGCAGATGTTCAGGGATATTTTCAGTGGTTCAGAGCAATTATTAATTCTTTAAAGAAATTTGTGGGACTTCAGGGATGTTCGTAGATGGTCTGAGCAAATTTCAGAACTTCAGGGAAGTTCGTAGATTTTCAGAATAATGTTTAGTGCTTCAGGGAAGTTCGTTTAGAAACCGGTAGTACTTCAGAGAATTTCAAATAATTTCAAGAAATTTCATATATCTTTAGATAAATCAACCCATATTAGCTAGGGACATCCCAGTCTAAACTTTGTATTTCTATCGATATACTTATTATATTTATAAATACTTAAGAAATACTTTAGAAATAGGTATCTAGGTATGTTCGCTCGGTTGCTGGACAAATTTCAGTAGTTTGTTTATCTGACGTTTGGGTTCAAATCATAGCTGATTTTGGGTAGATTTTTTTTACGCATAATACGATATAAACATTTATTCTATTACAGCATTAGCTGCACGTCACTGACCGATTAAAGTGTGATTCGTTGCTACAGTTCCAGGAAAAAGCCATACTGATGAACATTGAAACCTTTCGACCATTGCTCGACCAATTTATCGATTAGATCTGTAAATGACTACCGTGTTATTAGTATAGTTTTCACCCACTAGGATCTGTATCGTGTGATAATGACAACGGACATTTAAGCTGTTGGGAGCTGAATGGGGATTTTAACTGAGGGTTTTAAAACCATTCGAATCATACTTGTGGCATCCGGAGAGCCTTGTCTTATAGCATCCGTAGCTTAATAGCTGCAAAAATGAACAACATATTCACGGATTTCGGTTTCTACTTGAAGCTCATAAAGGTCGCCTAATTGAAAACTTTATAAACGAAAAATTCGTTCAAAACAAAATTTGGAAGGATATTAAATTTGACTATGACCACATTCAATTCACCTGATATTTTACTTACAAACGCTTACTTTGAACATTCCCAAATAAATATTATGGTCCTACAGGTTGGAAGAAAATTATGTAATACCGATAATTATTATTTCACCCTAAAGAAACCAACCGAGCTGGAACTATTGAGTTTAAGAGGGCTTAGCTTGCTTCTAGTGGTTAGTTTAATTGCTTCGCGTCACTTAAACTCTAAAATAACTTAAACTTAACTTTAACTGAACATTAACTTAATTTTATCATAACCTTAAATTAATTTTAACTTAACTTTAACATAACTTTAACCTAACATTAACTTTAACTTAACTTAAGCATTAACATAACTTTAACTTAATTTTGACATAACTTTAACTTAATTTTGACATAACTTTAACTTAATTTTAACTAAGCTTTCACATAGCTTTACCTTGAACATAACTTTAAGTTTAAAATTATTTTAACTTTAACTTCACTCTAACGTAACTTTAACTTAACTTTTACTTAACTTTAACAAAACTTTAACTTATTTTTATCATTAACATAACTTTAGCTAAACTTTAACTTAATTTTAACTTAAATTTAACATAACTTTAACCTAACGTTAACTTTACTTTAACTTAACTTTAAATTTTAACTTAAATTTAACAAAACTTTAACATTACAATAACTTTAAATTAACTATAACCAAACATTAATTTCACATATCTTTAACTTAACTTTAACAATTAACATAGCTTTAACTAAACTTTAACATAACCTTAAAGTAATTTTAACTTAAATTTAACATAACTTTAACCCAACATTAACCGAACTTTAACTTAACTTAAGCTTTAACATAACCCTTACTTAATTTTGACATAACTTTAACTTAATTTTAACTTATCTTTCACATAACTTTCCCTTAAAATGATTTAACTTTAACTTTACTTAAACTTTAACATAACATAAATTTAACTTAACTTTAACATAACTTTAACTTATCTTTTACTTAACTTTAACTTTAACATAACGTTAACTTAACTTAACTTTAACTTACATATAACAGAACTTTAAATTAAGTTTAGGGCCTGGCCTGGTCAGGGTGGGCCTTGCGGAGGTTGCTGAGGCGGAGTAACGCCAGCTGCCGGAGCACCACCTATCGCAGGCTGCTGCCATTGACCTTGTTCCAGCAGGAATCGCTGATGAGCCTGCTCCAGTTTCTTCATCTGTGTTTCGACCAGCAGAGCAACCAAGCTCTTGAATTTCTTCTCTTCAACGGCAGCTAAGTGTTTTGCTTTGACGGCGGCTGCTGCCGATTGGAGATTTCCCTCGTTAAATACCTTCGGGTCACCATTCTCCTTGGCAAGTTCCGAAGGTCCTTCCTTGTCCTTACCCTTGTCGGCTTCTGCTACGGCCTCTGACTTTTGCTGGTCGCATCCTGCCGCAGCATTAGAATCAGACGTTTTAGCATCATCTTCTTGAGAAGAATTCTCTGTTTTATCAGATTGGTTATCTTTGTCTTAGACCATCAAACAACAACAAAATCACAAACCCCCAAACAATGAAACGAGAAGCGAAAACAAATAGAGATTGGAAAAGAGACCCTTGAAAAAGCTTAGAGAAACAAAGTCTGCAGATTGAAGGTTGAAATAATAAAATAATATAATATATATGCTGCCGGTGGACGAATTGTCCCATGTTCTATGGAGTTTCATATACACATGGGACAATAATGCTTCCAGCGGCAGTATGGTACTCCAGCATAGAGGCTATCTTACCGTCGTCCTTCTTGGAACCATCCTTCATCTCGACATCAGTGGATCCCGGAGTAGCTGGAGCACCCGTTCCGGCAGTGCCAGCGGCTCCAGGGACTTTGCTCTCTTCATCTTCCTTATCCTTGTAAGGACCAGTACCGGCAATGCCGCTTGTTGCCAACCCAGCGTACGGATCAAACTTTCCTCCGAAGCTGAACTTTTCTAAATTTTTCAGATGGGCATCCATCATCGTAGCGGGGACTTCGTCCTGTAACAATAATAGAATACATATTAGTAACGAAATATTTCCACCCCATACATCACATACCTTAATAGCGGCAAACTCTTACATTGCGGCCTTGGCAGCTCTGGCAGAAATCCTCGGATCTACTACCGAAGCCAGGAACGCAACCGTCGACATAATCGGATTGCCAGTCTTACTGAACGGAATCGGCTGGTAGGACAACGGTCCCAGATACGTATTATCATCCTCCATAATCCTCCGGCAGGGGATCAACCACCGGATAGATGATATGCGTCGCCTCCTCCTCGTCCATCGTCATCTCACCCTGATGATTGGTTACAATGTTCGATATTCGATTAGCAGTAGCCTTGTCCACTTCGTGCCTAACGTAAACGATCGGTAGCCGCATGCATTCAGTTTCGATTAGAGCCGTCTTCATGTCAAGCATCTGTATAATGGGGTCCTTACGCATAGGGTTCTGAAAGGGTGGAACATTTGATCAAAAGGGAATTAGCACCGGGCGTGGAACATGCTTACCTTGTTTACCGTGAAATCGAATTTCCGCCAGCGCTGTTCAGCCTTGTAACGGTACATCGTGGCCAGAATACGACACAGCGATCCACCCGGTTTAAAATCCATAAAACATCGCATCTGCGCAAAAAGTAAGAATTTTACCACTGACCACAAGCTGTTTAACCCTGAATTTGGGGAACACTTACCGGCAACCTAGTAGCACAAAAGAAGTGACTCGAAAACTTTGGTGACGCACCTGCTATGGCAATTTTTCAGTGTACCACATGGCAACACCACTACTTCTGGCTTGTACCACATGGCAACACTACTAATGGATTGTACCACATGGCAACACTAAATGTGCTAGAATGTTTTGATTCTATCTCTCTAAACTGAAATGCATAAAAAATGACAAAATGATACACTCTTTGCACACTGTCAAAGATCATATTGCACACAAAATCAACTATGCTCAAATCAAAACAAAAATACTAGCCCATCTGGTGGCTGATGGCACAAGCTTTTAAGAAAATTCTATTACAGCGAGCCACATTATTTTAATTGATTTTTTCGCCAGTTAGTCGTCTGTCACTTCGTTTGTGCTAGTAGTGAGTTTGGTCTCCTGGTACTGCACAAACGGTACAACTAATTGCGCTAATGATTCCTTTGTCGGAGGATCAGGTGCCAAGTACTGAAATTGCGCAAAATGATATCAGTAGTAATTTCTGGATGCGTTAAACATCCTTGTTGATGCGTTGCATCAGTAAATTAAAAATAATTGCACTAAATATAACAAATATTTTAATACTTACTATTAGCTGCTTCCTTTCGTTCGCGGCTCGGGTAAAAGTAAACAAACTTTTACCAAACAAGATGGCTGAGCACACCGCAAAAAAAACACACCAAAACCGACAGCATTGTTGACAGCATTCCCCCATGCACTCAAAAATATAACTACCCACAAATCTAAAAAACCTACTACTGCGTGCACTTCCATTCTATTACCGAGAACCATGATTTTTCGATAAATTCCTTCCACGCTATTGGTCCATGGTTGTGCAACGCCAGCGCCATCATGTTATCAAAGAGGATTTAAGTGGGGAAGTCGGTGTTGGTGGCGCTTAAGTCAAATAGGAATCTTTACACAAGTTTTTACAGAAATTTAGTTCTAGCCTCAACGTCTGTTCTCTGTGCCCCAAGGGTGTAGAACGCTGTTTCTTTAACGGCACTTATTTCAAGTGCAAGGCGTTGTTTGTTCACTGCGAAGCATTCGTGAAGGGTAGTATATAAGCACAGACAAACAGACGTAACTCTTCATTGCGTATCTTCGTTCTCGCATTTAATGGTTGATTTTCTTTCCTTTATTTAACGTCGGTCTCTGTTCCGCAATCTAGTGCCAATCACCGACGGACATCGATTGCCATCCATTGACGGCAATCGAATGTGCAAGAAGGCAGCTTCCACACCTGCGTAGGATATCGCACCCATTCACAACACACATGGGCCGGGACCAACGGCTTGACTTCCCTTCCGAAGGAAGACGTGACCAGAGATTTTTATGCCTCAGAAAAATCCCACCGACCTCGAATGGGATTGAACCCAGACCCATTGGGGTGATAAAGCAGTCACGCTTACCACTACACCACCGGTGTCGGCTAATGGTTGATTTGAATATTATCAGCTCCGCAAACTACTCGCTGCAGCGCTGGAGTCGGATCACTTTGACGTTTCTATACATTGTATAGAACTTTTATGCAATATTTTTTTGCGAGTTAGCAAGCTTGTTTTTCGCGAGAAACCCAAGATATGTCGTTACTGAGGTCCTATGTTTTAATATACTATGTTTGCAAGAAAAACTTTTCCAAAGAGTTACGTCTGTTTGTCTGTGATATAAGTATAATAATGAAAAATAAAAAGGGCTCAGTGGATTGTTAACCGGAGACGTGTGTCGCGTCTTCAATCAGATGAAAATTCCGGTGCAGCCGCGCGCGCTTCATTAAAGAAGGAATCAGGAGATGCTAGCGCTACGTAACGGCGACGTTTCCACTTATCTATAAACAAGTTTCTCGTGGAAGTTGGACGCCTGTTTTGTAAGGTTTGGAGTTGGAGCTTACCACCATTAAATATATTTTGCATCATCATATCTACAAAATATTTGGGTTAACAAATTTACCCACATTCTGTATTTGTCCGGTTTATGGCTTGTTTACATATGAGCTGGTTCATAATGCTGATTAACCAAAATTAGTGTAATCCGACAAAATTTGTGCTCAAAATTGATGCGCTAATGTTAATTATTTTAAAAACTACAAAGGACTACAAATCATGTCCAAAAATTTATTCCCATTTGAACATTTTGAAACTTATCTAAGATTTTCGTTTGGTGGGTGTTTCAGCAATACTGATTTTTTTTTTATAATAATGTTATACTATCAGAGACACAGGGAATGCCCCATAAATGTACCTGACAGGAACGCATTCTACATGGATCAGTAATTATAAATATCACCAGGTAGCAGCAGCGCAGACTTATAAATCAGCGCTGTTGCTATCTGGTGCTGTTTGAGTTTTAAGCTATATAAAGCTGAACATTGAATTAGGTCCTACACAGAAAAAAAAGTTGTTGAATATTACATCCAAACTGCTGCAACCAGGTCAATCCATCGGTTGTGTAATATAACGTTGTACGATGTACATCGATTTTGTGAACAAAATTACATCCATTGATGTAATATTGTATCTGCTTTTTGCTAGTACATCATTATTTCATAAATCAGCTTGAATTACATTGATTGATATTACATTTTTTTTTGCTGTGTAAGTAACATTGATCGATTCTCATCGTCGACTTTCTCTTTGGTCAATAACTTGAGCACATAATCGTTTCTTGTTGTGTTTGACGTATTTATTTAATTAATTAATTAAATCTTCAACATAATGTTGTACAGATATATTCTAGGCTAGGTGTCGAATTCTATGTCTGTAAGTAGACTTACTAATGTTAAAATCATATACATCAAACGTTTCATTAAACACTCGACAGCACAAAGTCCACGGTTCGTTGAATCCATAGTTGGTCCGATGGGTAGGTTGCCACAGAAGCGTGTAACTACGTAGAACTCTTTGAGGAGCATTGATGTAGATTTGGCTCACAAGAGAGTTGCAATCCACGTCACCGTTAAGCAATCCAAACACGAAGAGTCGCTGAAGTAGTTTCCTCCTTGCTGCCAACGTGTCTAGGTCAATCAGCCTGCACCGTTCTTCGTAAGGCGGCAAATGTACCGAATCGTTCCAGGGCAGAACACGTAAAGCGTATCTTACGAAGTTTCGCTGAATGGCTTCGATTCTGTTAGCTTGAATAGCATGAAAGGGTGCCCACACAACATCAGTATACTCTAGGAGACTGCGGACGAAAGCACAGTATAGTGATTTCAGCGCGTAGATGTCCTGGAATGCGTTTGTGTTTCGTTTCAAGAGACCTAATATGGCGAATGCTTTAGCAGTTATTATGGAGATGTGCTCATTGAATCTGACTTTAGAGTCGATGATAACACCCAAATCCTTAACTGAAGAAACGAAGAGCAAACTACTGAGTCCTATTATATAGTCATGTCGTAAGGGCTCGCGTGAACGGCTAAAAGATATTGCGCAGCATTTTGTGACATTAACCTGCATACCGTTCAATGTACACCAGCGCAAAAGGGAATCAATATCCTTTTGGAGTGCGCAACAGTCAAGTCTTGATTTAATTGTACGAAAGATCTTTAAGTCATCGGCGAACACTACACAGATCGTTCACGAACAGGATGAAAATTAAAGGCCCCAAATGGCTACCTTGGGGAACACCAGAGGGTATCTCTAAACTAGGCGAATTAACACCGTTAATGCTCACATAGGCTGAGCGGTCAGTTAAGTAAGACTGTAGCCACTTCGTGGCCCAATTAGGTAATCCCATACACCTCATTTTTTCCACTGCAAGCACATGTGGAGCCCTATCGACGCCTTACTGAAGTCCACGTAGATCGCATCAACTTGTCGTCGTTTTTCAATGGAGTTGATCAGCGAGTTGATAAACACCATTAAGTTGGTTGTTGTAGAGCGTTTCCTCACGAAGCCGTGCTGATGTTCGGTAATTATTGGCCTAACCGCTTGATATACGACCCCATATACAATCTTCTCCAGAGCTTTTGGGAGGCAGCTTAGAATCGAAATTCCGCGATAATTTTCAACGTTGTGGATGTTTCCAGCTTTGTGAATAGGTGTGATGGACGCAACCTTTCACATTGTGGGGAAAACACCACTAACTAGCGAACCATTGAAGATAATCGACACAGGTGAAGCGAGAGATGCAGAAAATTTCTTAATGAACGATGGCAGCAAACAGTCTGGACCAGGGCCTTTAGAAGGATCTACAGATGAAAGAACTTTCATCACCTCTTCAACAGATACATCCAACTGCGGCAAATGCAAGTTGTAATAAGCTATGCTGCTCATCCAGTCACGACGATCATCCGGAGAACGAAGAGAATCTGTCAATGCATTGGACCTAAATGCATTGTTTAGTTTATCGTTAAGAACGATGTCGTACCGAAGCTCATTTTCGCATCGGACAACGTAGTGGACCCATCTCCTGAGCAACTAGCAGCAGCAGTATCTCCAACCATGGAGCCACTTTTTTTTTAAATTCAATAACTGAATCCCCCTAATTTTAAATTAATGTTGTACTAAGCTTATTGGAACCCACACGTTTGATTTGAGAAAAGTTACAGTATTCTATAGATATGACCATTGACCTGCACTCGCGAACACATAAAGCAAAGAAAAAATAAACTATAGTATGAAATCTAAAATATGTACATAGGACCGAAATAATAGGTTACATCTTCTGCATTTTAAATCAATATCAAGAAAAATGCACGAGAAATTCACTAAACAGCTCAACAAAGTCTACATCAACCATGTGGTCGTGTATCGTACACAACCCCACATTTTTTTCGTATTTTTCAGCGTAAATCACGTCCAAAATTAACTCCCTCAACCATTGAAGCCCAAAAACTGTATGGAAAAATGACCCCCTACAGAACATTTTGTAACTAGCCGCAAATGCAAGAGGGGAACCTAAGATTTCGTATAGTGGGTGTTTCAGTCTTGAAGGGACAGACTTCTTCGCATAAGCCGCCTCCAGACTGACCCACATCTCCTTCGTGGTCGCCTTCTCTCGAACGATCTCGAGGCATTCGTCCGACAGGCAACCCACCAGTAACGCCTTGGAGATCCGGTCCGTTTCTTCAAACTTCTTTTTTGCAGCTTGTTCCGTTGGAGCCACCTCGGTCAGCACATCCGCGACGCCTTTGGCTTCCAGGAACAGGCGCACTCGATAACTCCAGTTTTGGAAGTCAGCTCCGCTTCCACGCAGCAAAGGGATGTTGCACGAAACGTCCTTCGCAGTGGTGCCCATAACCTCTTGAAGGGACAAACGGGAG